CATTATCAAAGGCGATGAGGCAGTGGGCGAAGTAATCTCCCTCTCCTCGAAGATTTTTTAGTCAAAGAATACATTGGTTGGCTTGCGCTTGCATTCAAATTGCGCGCAAAATCGTCTTTGTAAAAATTCAAACATCGAATGAGCAATCTTGTGCAATTTCAGACAATTGACGCTTGGACTACAGGCGGTAAAGCTGAGTGGAAGGTAGTTTCGACACGCTGCAGCGTCATGTAGTGGACTTTTACACATGGCTGTCAGACAGAGGTCAATGTTTTTTTCCATTTAATGACATCAGTTTAGTAAGCGCGTCCAAAGTATTTGAGAAATTTGTGTGTGGGCTTCACCAGTCTTAGTCGGAAAGCACGGGAGATCACTTCGCCTTTGAAAATGTCCACCGCAGTTGTGGACGAAACGTCAGGAAGAAATTCCGATAGACCACGGCTTCAAAGCCCGGAAAACATTTCTAAATGTAATAACTGTTATGATCAGAGTTCACCTATACAGGAATTCGCCCCCCAATTTTTGGATGACAAAAGGGGAGTTGGAAGTTCTGGTGGAAAAAACTAATCGAATATTCGCATTGTCGTTTTATCGCATATTTCCGGTCCAGAGCGTCACACACTTGTTTACGGGCTACGGTATCTTAACGCCATATCGCCATTAATAAAGTGGCGTAATCTCGACGCCGGGCGCGCGTAGGTGGAGTCGGGCCTTTATTGTTCGTGTGCGTATGGAAAAAAACTCGTCTACATCTTTATTCTGTCCATAAACGTGATGTAGTAGGCACTAAGTTTGCGTCTAAAAACACTCGCTGGTTATAGCGACTTGTTTGCGATTGTTGCCAAAACGGAATATTTGTTTGTAAAAAAATAATAACTAGGAAACTTGGGAGAAATTGAGCATGTGGCAGACAGCAGACAGAAACGAGTGAAACGAGTAATAAATTATTTTTCATAATAAAAAGACTTCAATTATTCATCGGGAACGAGAAGGGGCCCAATCTATAACTATGTGTTAACAATTCAATATTTCTCCATTCTTTATTGCACGGCGCATATGATGGAGCTATCGTCGTCCACAACGCGTTCCTGGCCTGTTTCGGACTGCATATTAAATACAGATTTTTGAATGGGACTCGCGTGCTCCCCCAGGCATTTTGGGTGAAACCTTCTTAAGCACGATTCAGGTCAGCAAATAAGACTATAAATCACCCTGTGCAGAATCGCTCTGATACCTGCCAACAATGACTGGGGCATTGGGGGCTTCTTGAGAAGGTAAGGAAATCGAGCCTAAAACCACTTGTAAAGTTGTAAATTGGAGGTGTGGAGCAACGCGATTATAAATGCACATCACCCTGTTTTGTTATCGGCATGGGGTCGGGCCCCAATGGCTTTGGTGACATGCCGAAAAATCCGCTGGGGCTGGACAGCTGACAGCAACATACAAAAGCGATCGTATAAGAAGATTTTTTTTATTGCAAGGCGATGCTTTCAGACGTTCGAGGAACTGGACGATGGCGATTTAGTGGCTTGAAACTAGCGAAGCAGAAGCTGAAGAAATCGGCCCAGGATGGTCAACCAAAGTTCCAATCCTGTTTTGCTTTTTGAACAGTTTGCTCAAACTCAAGTTGTTCTTGCGGGTTGATATTCATGGCAACTGTAAATTTTTAGTTGTGTCGATTAGCATTTGTGACACGGACGATAAATGAGCGAACGCTTATCTAACATCTAGAAAACCAAAAACGAAAATGTTTAGACCCTTCTACCTGCATGCCGCTTCACAAGCCCGGCTCGTTCTCGGGTTGCGCCCTTTGTCTTAATCTTGGACAGTGTCCTGCATATTAACTTAATTTAATTAGGTACAAAGCCACTATAATGAGGGTCTTTATATGCCCTGTCCCTTTGGATTAAGTCAACACTTTGATGGCATTTTCTGGTATCAGCTTTAAGCTTTTGCCTGTGTTGTTGTTTTGCCGGAATCTTACCTTTCATCGCAATTGCAATGCATTAGAGTGTTTATCCTCCAATTGAAGAGTCCATACTTCGTTTCGAACCCCCCAATCCAAAAGGGGCAAGACAGGTCATGCTTTCTGCAACATCTAAGAGAAATGTGGATTAGAGTAATTCCCATAACGGTTAAAGACTGGTGAAGGTGCTGAATGAAAATACTGGTAAGTGAAACTTGCCTATCAGTTTTCGAAAACCCTCCGAGTCTGGTGTATTTGTCTGCCGAGTATCCTTTTCCGCACCATTTCGTTCCTGGAACACGAAAGATGTCGGATATATCTCGTTTGGATCTGGAAGAAAAAACGAACTTTATTGGCCGATGAAAATCTGTACAAGTTTCACGAGGTTAAATAATGGCAGGCTTTTTTCGCATTTCTGGGCATTCTACCGGTTTAAGTTACAGAAGTTCAACAGAAGTTTAAGAAGAAACACGCACAAAGGAACGAAGCGGGCAAAAAACTACATTGAAATAATCGCTTGTTGTAACTTTGGCGGTTGAAATAATTAATAAGCAAACAGCTATATTCACGCTTGCCGATGTTTCGCCTATTTGTGTCAGGAACTGCTTCTCTCGCGAGGACTCGAACCGCAAAAATCTTCTAATTTTTGCGCTTCGCCACAAGAACTGCAATGCAAACGTGCATTTTAAAAATCTAAAATTATGTTTGTTCGAGAAAAAGGACAGTTTAATGCTCTATTCAGCAGCAGCAACTAGAGCTGTTACGGTTCTCAAATTGTGAGCAACAAACTAAGAGTGGTTTTTAAAAAATTGCCAATTTTTACATTTTACTTTTTTGTCTGAGAAACTTTGAAACTTTTGTAAAACAATGCTTTACATTAACTAAGAGCGCACTTCAATGATAAAAACCGGAGGTTTGTTTCCCAAACGGTCTTCGAAGCATGAGGTAAAATCAGCCCGCGGTTCTAAAAAAATACTTTTTGCACTTTCTCAAATCATTAAAAAGACCTCAAAAAAATCATTTTGTGCGCAAAAAACGCATTTTTATGCTCTATTTAGTAGTAACAACTGGAAGTATGATACTCTAACGGCTCTCGAATTGTGCGCAACAAACTATCCGCGGTTTTAAAAAATGTTTGCACTTTGATATTTCTTGAGAAAATTTAGAAATTTTGTAAACTGACGCTTTATATAAGAAAAGACGCACGTTATTTACCGCTTAGTAGTAATAGCTAGAGATACGTTGCTCTGGCGATGTTCAAAGTGTGAGTAAAATAAAATTTTCCACAACATTTCGTTCCTGGAACACAAAAAATGGCCCATAAAAGTCTGTCCAAGATTCAAGAGTTTAAATATTGACAGGGCTTTTTTCGGATTTTTGATTGATTTCTGGGCTTTCTAAAGGTTTAAGTTTCTAAAATCCAACAGAAACCTAGTCAACTTTTTAAGCAATTATTGGCTGGAACACCCAACAAAATCCGCACATATTTGAACAAAAAAACATTCAAAAAAGCAAAATTTTAAAAAGGAAATAAGTTTGATTTATCGCACAGTGGAAAGGAAACGCAAAAAAGGAAACAAAACAAAATTGAAATAATCGCTGGTCATTAAACAAACGGCCATATTCACTACTGCCGATGTTTCGTCTATTTACAACTCAACCTCAGGAACACCTTGAAAATGTGCAGTTTAAAAATCGAAAATTAACTGAACTTCAGGTGCTCTATAACATATGCGTGGAGTTTTTACTGAAATGAATATTTTTGTAGCAAAATCGTAAAAAAGTTTGAAGATCAGACTTACAGAGACTTAAGATATGGTTTGCTAAATACAACGACCTTTTGCCCAAGAATGTTAGTGCGTGAAATCTGCCTTTATTGAAACATTTCCCAAGTGTAGAATACTTCGGCCGCCCCATAAAGACGAAAATAGATTATTTTTAAAAGTCTCCCGATTGCCTTCGGAAATTCATAGCAGTTCCTAGTCATTCCTGATTCTAACAGAGCCAGAAGAATATTTTTAATGTTTAGTTTACGCCATCAACTCAACTTTTTCACAGTTGAACACAGACTGAAACCAAATGAAATCATTATGAGCACATTGTCTAGAACTCATAACATGCATTGATCGGGTGCCAGAATGGTTTAGTCTAACGTGTGCCGAATAACAACTTGCCAACATGTGTTTGTTATCACAAAAGCAAAGTGCAGGTTTAAACTAGTAGAAATTAGGATTCCCAATCCATTATACAACTTTTCCCGAAACTGTTGCTGCAAATGGACCTTGAAACCGGCTTTCTGGGATAGTTTTCGTAAATATTATTGGCCGATCGTTTGGATTATCCAGACAATTGATTGAATATTTATGGACCTTTGGTGAGCGCCAGGCGTTGACTGTAATTATGTTTTTCTTCTGTTGGAAGTTTACCGAGCGAAATGGCCCAAAGTACGAGCGGCCGAATATTTAAATAAATGAGAAGGCATTTTTCTATTCTTACTTGTCGATAATTCATTTGAAACTTAACACCGGTTGACGAGTAACTGAATACTTTCTTATGTGCGTATAATTTAAGCCATTGTCTTTGTAATTACAGCGAAGAGGGAACAATCAATACTTAACAGCTTGTTAGCGCGTACTCAAGAAGTGCGTTTCTTTATCACTCTACTGACCTTTCGAAAAGGTCGATTCTTTTTGAGTCCTGCACTTGATCCATCTCTTTCTTCGTCATCAAGTGCGTCTGATGGCACTCCTTTCTTAGCTCGGTATAATTCAGCCACCCATACTCCGGGGGCAATTTCCCATCATCCAAGGGCTGTAAGCTAATATTGGCACTATTCACTAATCCTTTCAGATCGTCTCTAAAGCTGCGTAGGAACGTTTTCACTCGCTCTTTCTGATGACCAAACTCGCAATCGATTAGAGCAGAGTTTTCGTCATAAATTAGCTCGATGATATGTTTGCTGTCGCTCAGTTGCCGAAACGACAATCGTTTGCTTGATCTGAAACAATGCAAAAAATAATTTTAACTCATTTAAATCAACGCGACTATTCGGTCAAGGTGTGGTTTGTTGGAATCTTCAACTTATAAGGAATTTAAACACCGCCAGGACAATGATTTGACTACTCAGTGGGCGAAATGTGATGTTCAAATAGGGACTCGGCATGAATTTGCATGCTTAAAGAGCCGATGCGCCTTCTCTATGGGCAATTCAATGCTTTTGGCACCCGTTGATTTTGTTTTCAACAATAAGGCGTTTGCAGTTAAATTCGCAAGTTTCATTCGTTCCTTCATTGCGATATTGATTTTCGACGGAGCCAATAAAATCACCAGACCCAACAGGATTCGGTTACCGCAACAAGTGGGCGTACTAAATGATCCGATGTAGCAAAAAAGTCTGAAATCCTGATAGGAAATAAAACTAAGTTTTACATTTAATGGTTTTAATAATTTATTGGAGAGGAATGCGGAAAACTGTGGGTTAACAGTTATTTTGAGAGTTTATGGTTTGAGCTTAAGGAAATGGGGATGGGATGGAAACATGAGGAAATTAGCTTTAAATAATGTCAATGTGAAAAAGATTAATTTGATTGAACATAAAGTGTTGTTAGTGGTTGTTTTTCTATGTTTAAGTATGGTTGAGCTAAAATAATAACGCGGATTTGAAAAAATTGATTATTTATGCACTTGGACACTTCCTAGATATATAGACGCTTTTTGATTTAATCATCAAAAATGAAAAAATACCAGAATTAAAGTAAAAATCACTGTTTTTACATTTTCATTTTTTCAAATTATGTTTTATATGGCAAAAAGCGCACTTTGATGCCCTATTCAATAGTGAAAACTAAAGTTTTTTTGCTCCAATCATTCTTTAAGTATGAGGTGAAATTTAAACGCGGTTTTTAATAAATTGACTATTTTTGCACCTTGACATAGTCTGAGATAACTTACAACTTCTCTAAAATTATATTTTATACGAGAAAAAGTGCGCTTCAGTCGTCTATGCAGCAGTAACAACCAGTGGACTGTTACTCTAACCGTTCTTCTTTTGCACTTTTGCACTGAAATTTCTTGTTTATAAATTGTTATCTCTGTTTAATTGTATCATCTAGGGGCGTGTTAACAGTTCTCAAAATTTGAGTAAAAAACTAACAAGTTTTAAAAAATTACACTTTTTGCAATAATTTGACAATTTTTGAGACTTCTAGAAATTTTCATTAAATGATGTTTTATGTGAAAAACACGCACTTTAATGCTCTACTCAATGGTAAAAACTAGAGGTAAAAAAGGGGCATACTTTAGTATCCTCTTCGCCGTAAAAACTGGAAGTATGTTATCAATTCGAAAAGTGTGAATAAAAACCAAAGTGGTTTTAAAAAATTTACAGTTTTTGCACTTTGATACTTTCTGAGAAAATCAGAAACTTTTATCAAATAAAATTTTGTATGAAAAAGAGCGCAATTCAATGTTATATTCAATAGTAACAACTAAAGTACTGTTACCCTAACGTCCTCAAAAACTCAGCAAAAAACTTACAGTGGTTTTGACAAAACTTACAGTTTTTACATTTTTACATTTCCAAAGATAATCAGATACTTTTGTAAAACTAGGTTTTATGGGAAAATAAGCGCACTTTAATCCCCTATTCAACGGTAAGAACCAGTGCTCTGTTACTCTAACAGTTTTGAAAGTGTGAGCCAAAAGCGAACAGGGGTTTTAAAAAAATTACAGTGTTTGCACTTCAAGATTTTCTGAAAAAATTAGAAACCTTTGTCGAATGAAATGTTGCATGAAGAAGAGCGCAATTCAATGTTCTATTAAATAGTAACAACCAGAGTACTGTTACTCTAACGTCCGCAAAAACTCAGCAAAAAACTTAGAGCGGTTTTGACAAAATTTACAGTTTTTACATTTTCACATCTCCAAAGATAATTAGAAACTTTTTGTAAAATTAGGTTTTACAGGAAAATAAGCGTACTTTAATCCCCTATTCAACAGTAAGAACCAGTGCGCTGTTACTCTAACAGTTTTGAAAGTATGAGCCAAAAGCGAACAGTGGTTTAAAAAAAATTACAGTGTTTGCACTTCAAGATTTTCTGAAAAAATTAGAAACCTTTGTCGAATGAAATGTTGCATGAAGAAGAGCGCAATTCAATGTTCTATT